TTTCGCCCCCATATCTTTTTGGGATATTATTTTAGAAAAGAAAAATTTTGGTAGTGGTTAAAAGGCGATTATTCTTGTGTTGTTGTTGAGTTTGGACGCATAATAATTCATGAATAAGTAATTCTTGGTGGAAAAATGATGAAAAAGTGTGATTGAAAAAATCTGTGGCATTGGCGATGTAGAATTTTGTTATGGATGTTATAAATTGAGTGTTTATTATCTTACAGAATTGAGGTATAATATGACTAGCATCATATGTGGCATTGAGCGAAAATAGTTGGGTGACTTTAGCGCAATTGGCATGAAAAAAGAGAAACTATCGAGTTTTAAAGATATTAAGTACGTGAGATTATTCCAAAATATCGCTATGGATTAATGAAATGGAACTAAGCTTTATTCATTACTAATAAGAAAAGTTACATACTTATATTTTGTAAACTCATAGATATTGCCGTATGAACTTTCACATTCCGAATTCTTAAATAATGAGAGAAACATCACCTTTAAGATGAAGAGAGATGGGTGTCCGAGTATTTTATGATAAACTCAAATCTTATCCGTAAGGTTGGTATTACTAACAGAGAAAGATCTCTCAGGTGCATTCAAGTAGTAGAGTTTGTTTATGACTTCAATGTATCTAATTATTTTCCTCGAATTTAATCCTAAAAGTCATAGCGATGAGAGTCAAATATAACTTTTCAATTCAAGTTTTCTAATAATTTACTTACTGAAACTAGTACACGATTTAAGGGCATGTAATATATTTTTCAGAATAATGCTACAACTAAGTTTAATATCATCTTTGCTTGCAATACTATTGAGAGAACCATCTGCATTGACAATCTTTCTATTACTTATACATTAAACATATGTATAAATATGTTTAAAAATATTGGTCTTATGATATGTGTCTCATGAATGTATAATCAAAAAGTTCTCAAATAATTTCTATAAGACATTTAGTTCCTGTGAGGTAGAAGTCATACTTGATTGTCCCAATAATTCGATACTTATTTGTTTCTCTAAAAACTCAAGTCATATCCTTAATCTTTCAATCTCCTCTATAAATTTATTAAAATTTGAAGTTGTCATGGTGGGATTTGCTTTGGTAATTTGTGACATAATCTCCAACATCCTTTAAGAATTAGTTAGAAATTAATTGTTAAAAAAGAAAGAAAATTTATTGAAAGGATTTTACCCAAAAAACACATGATTGGGTGAAGTTGTTTGAACATGGTTGCTATGAAGACGACAAAGAAGAGTGCATTGGAAGTCACAATTTGCTACTGCTAGTGGTGGAAGTGGTTGGTCATGTGGTGGTCGACGACAAGAGGGTAGTGGCTAGTTATAAAGGTGGACTCTTTAGATATTTTATTTGGGCAATTAAGGTCAAATAGAGTTTATAAAAGAATTTAATGATTTCTTGATTTAAACCTCTGATACCATGTTAAGAATGCTTTTAATTAATATGTATTTTATTAAATATTATAAACATATATATATATACAAGTTTTATAGAACAAAAAAATAATATACAATTGATTATAATTAATTACAAATGATATAATTTTATTATTTAATTTTATTTGTTTACTTTTTAATATTCTGATTTATTTCCTATTTTAATATTATGATCTTATTAATTTTTTAATACCATAATTTATTTCTTATTTAACACATTGATTTACATACTCTTTAATATTATGATTTACTTCTCTTTAATATATTAATTTATTTCTATATTTTATAAAATATAATTTATTAACTATAATTACTAATAACTACTTAGCTAAATAGTTAGTTTAAAAAAATAATAAGTTCTAATTAGATTGTACTATATGTATCTTCCTTTAAAGATTGTATTTTTTTTGTGTTAATGCTCATGTATCAACTAGGAAAGCAATGTATAAATTCTAATTCTAACACCATTTTATTTTAATTTTTCTTTTTGTTTTGTACAAGGAGAGACAAAAACAAAAAAAAAAATTAAGAGATCATCATGTACATCCAGAGCCAGGAGACATATATGATATCGTCAGTGAGAAATTGTTGGAGATTA